AATAATTTTAAGTAAGAATATTTTACAATTGTACTCTTTAATAAATTTATTAATTGTTTTGGTTTTAGGTTTATGTATACATCTGTTAAATGGTTTTCGACTTTTGCTACGACTTCTGGACATTCTCTATTTTTTTCAATGATTTTGTAAATATATTTATGTTTTAATTGTTCTTGTGTAACTTAGCATAGAAAAAAGCAAAAATGCCTAATAAAACATTGCATCATTTTAACTGTTTTGTCTTATTTTCTCCATCCCTACCCCCTCTCTCTCCCTCTCTCTCTCTGTCTTCCTGGGTGATAGTATAGTTCGCCTACTCTTGCTGTTGGCCATTGCACACCTTAGTCGATAAAAGATACAAATCCGAATGGTTGATTTTTTAAATTGATTATGAAATTTAAAATGTTCTAATCAGACTGTGTGAAAAATTTGGGACAGATCTGCAAATCCATCAGTGAGGCATGGATGTTTTAGCTGTACGAGCTGAACATGTTATAGCCAAATTAGCATTTAGAAACTGAGCTCACCAGACTATTTATTGTTGTAATGTTACACTCACAGTGAAGAATATCCTTGCGATTATGAAAATTGGAAATTCCCCGAAAATGATAAGATTGGCACGGAGAAATACTGAAAAAGTAAAGCCTTACAAATGTTTATCGATGCTCGCGAATTTCTTACAAGAATGGAACGACTATACAACAGATGCGTAGCCCGTACTTCTGCTTTGTCACGTATGCCAATCACACAGTGGCGAATGGTCTTACGAACAGAAAACCCCACCATTTGACAACGATCTCAAGGTGATTGCAAGACATTCGTAGATGTTCGTGAGCATTCACTGTTGTTCCTGGGGTGTTGCGAATATTAGGAACATGCGCACAAAAGTCGTCGTGAAAGCATATTCTCAATGCTTTTGTAATACTTTCGTCAGCAATCGCAACCCATCCTTACAGATGTGTTACAATCACTCTATATGCCTTGCCATCAATATAAGAATGTCTTGTGATTGCTTATGAAAGTGTTGCGAAAGTAAAGTTCACCGAGAAAACTGCAACAGAGCGAAAGACAAAGCAGTTATCCAGAAAAAAGTCACAATGCCGCACATCTATTCCTACTGGTTATAAAATTCATTTACGTTAAATATCTCGTTCCAAAGTGCATGGCTGAATATTTCAAATGATGTATTTTCGGAGAATTTATACGTAGGACTGTATGTATGTAGTATTGTCATAGTCTGTTTGTCAGGCAATTGGTATGTTAGGATTAGCATTATGGTCCATAAATCGACTAGCTCTCAATATTGACAAAAACAATAAAATGTGAACTTTTTCACTAATTTCTTGTTTAAACATTCCTTGGTAGCTTGTGGTAGAGAGTAAAATAATTGATATATACTCACTGTGTTGACCATGGGACTAATATGTAAATACTATCTACGTACATACACTCAAAAGTGTAAACTGTTGAATTAGTATTCTCCTGTTATTGGTATAAAAATGAAATAAAATGAAATGGGGTTTAACGTCCTACTGTTCTGTTCCAACTGGGCTAATGAAGACGGGCATACACCATGCTATGAGGGAAATTTTGTACGGACAGCGGCGCTACGGCTTATTCATCTGCGAGAAATCTTTTATGTGCATGTCAATATATATACACGGGACCTCAGGTTTTTCGTACCATCCGAAGGACTAGACAGCTGTCCTTGTCAAGCCCCCCGTCCTGCACCACTGACAAGGGGAAACCACGGTTGTTGACGCAACTGTCTGGGTGTGTTTAATAATTGTTTTATAGTCAGATCTTTAAAACAATTCATTTTAAACACAGTGTTGTCATCTACTATCTATCCATCCAAGTCCAAATATTCCGTATGTCCTGGCTCTTACATCCTGTTAATTACAGTTTTGTATTTTACGGAGAACACCTCAATGACAATAAAATCAAATGGAAACAAATAAGAAACGAAAGGATTTAAAACCCGTTAAACATATGGATATGACTAAATAGAAGCTGGGCATATACCATTCCTGTATACTATGGTCATTTGTCGGTTAGATTTGTCTTAAGAAAACTTTGTCATTCGGCAAACCTCGGCATACTCCGGTACCCTTCCTAGCTTTAAATTTAGTCAAGCAATGTAAGCTTTTACTATCAGAAGTACATAACAAACAACGTACCGTTTCTTGAGGTTAGATTAGGGTACTGGAGTGGACCGAGGTGTGTCGAATTATACTTTATAAGGCATTGAACCATGATATTCAACAGAATATTTGGTTTAATTAAATAGTATTTGATTCAAGAGAAGATTAGTGTTTACAATTTATCCTTTTGAAAAATATAAGTGAATAGGATTCAGTAGCAAGCAAAGATGATTATATAAAACTTTTTTATAAAATAGTTGATTTAACCAATATTTTATTCAATAAATTTACAGAATTTATTTGATAAATTTAGGATTCGATAACAAGCTTTATCAGCTTCCTTAGAATGAATCTTTAACAGATTTGCAACTGACAATCATAATATCAACACATAAATTTAAATATACAGAATTGAATTTATATGTACAATTTAGATGATAATTTAGGATTTATTAAAGAGATACTTAGTTGTATAGTCTTAAACCTGTAGTCTTTACTGTCAGACAGTAACACTATGATATTATTTTTTCGTCAATTCACATTTATGTGAATGTGTTTGCTTCAAAACACTACCATTTGACAATTGATTTATATTTGGATATCTGATCTGTTTCGAATTTCAAAGAAGCGTTGCATCACGTGGCTAAGTGGGTAAGACGCTGGCTTGCTAGCCTGGAGGTCGGGTGTTCGATCCCTGCATTGGCCGAGAAAGTTCATCCAGATTTTCCGGCGTGGTTCCCCCTTGTCAGTGATGCAGGACGGAGGGCCTGACAAGGACAGCTGTCTAGTCCTTCGGATGATACGAAAAACCGAGGTTCCGTGTATACATTGGAATGCACGTAAAAGATCCCTTGGCAGTTGGAATTCGATATAAGAGTAGGCGATAGTGCCGCTGCCCGGGCAAAATTTCCCTCATAGCACACTGTATGGTGTATGCCCGTCTTCATTAGCCCAGCATAGGACCAGAACAGTAGGACGTTAAACCCCATTTCATTTCATTTCATTTCAAAGAAGCGTCGGAATACTTTGACCTCGGAAAGATTGGTTTGTATTTGTTTGTGATCCAAGTTGTTGAGCAACGCAATGATTTTCCAGTAACAGAGTCAGCTTTCAAAGACAGAAAGGGGATTGGGTTTATTGGCTGTTTCGTTGAGTGGCCAGGTGCTCGAACTGTCCGATTTCCTTCAATTTACTATACATGAAACCTCGGACCAGAATTGATACAAATAATGCTTCTCTACGGATTAAAGCATCGCGGGGCCCTAGCCTAAACTCTATGTAAGCAACGTTTATTAAATAAATTGGTTGCCATGTTACTTTCGATGTAAGAATGTCCATTGGCAGAGTAATGATCAATGTAAACGGGTTTACAGAGTTTGTTGAGCTGGAAAAAAATGACCGAGCGAAGCGGGGCTTGAAAATTGTGCGGAACTTCACTTTGTAAAAACATCTATGAAATAGATGCAATAGACGGATATTAGGAAGGGCCTCTTTGTAATGTCGAAATAGGATAAACACCTCAAAACACCTTTTATTAAGAAAACCTTAAAAAGATGATCATACAACTGAGATGGAAAATCGACATAATTTTTAACCCGCTGTTCCTGGTGGTATCTTCTTAGTATACGGGTGTCGTACACGGGACAGACACAGCATGACCCCGTGAATGTTTTAGGCCATCGAATTTGGACTCCGGGCGAATTGGGCCTTGGCCCCGGGCGAATCACGCTTCGTTGCTGCCCCCCTCCACCCCCCACATATGTTGTATCAAAATTAACCAGAATGATCCCGTGAATGTTTTAGGCCATCGGATTAGGGCCCCGGGCCCCCTGGCGAATTCGGCCTACTTCGAATTTGTGCCCCGTGGGAATCTGGGTATCCTGCTATATAAATGTTTACACCCCTACCCTATAAATTCATGCCATTTTATCATTTCAATAGCAGGCTAATTCTACATTTTACACTGAGCTGCCGTTGAATTGAACATTTTTTTTTGTTTTACAGTGCCTGTGGAAAATGACGTTCTAATATAAATGTTGCGCCATTCGCCCTACCTCGTTGTTTAATTGATACACCTTCGTTTGTTTTACTCATATTGACAATGATATATATAAGTCAACACGATTAACCCACAATCCTATAAAATAAAAGCTTCAATTTTTTATTTCCCCAAAAACAAAATCCATCAAGAAGTTAATTACAACAATACATCTACACGTTATGTATTATGTCATGAAAACTAATATTTGATTTCGTAGAAACTGCATGATTCGAGAATTTGAAACCTTTTTCAACATTTCAAATAATCCGGGTTGCCTAACTACATATTTACCAGTTAAATTGTTTCCACATCCATTTGAATGATAGAGAAGAGAAGGCGATAAGTTACATACTAGGTGAGTTACTCTATTAATTAGCAGTTTCGATTTTTTAAAAAGAAATTAAATAACTTGGATAATTGAATGTAAAATTCGATTTTTTTAAAAAATGAAATTGGTGGACAAATATATTTTTATGGTTACTTATTATTTGCTTCTTTTGGAAAACTTCGATCAATTATATTTTTTTGAAACTAATAATATACCACGTTAGTATTTTCTGTTCTGTAAAACGTTTTGGATTTTAAGTGAGCTAAATACATGGAAAAATATAAAGATACTCGTCAGAGGATTGTATATCGGAATTCGAGAAGAAACCCAGCATTAAGCTAATTTTAATAGTTATGGGCAATACTTAGGAAAATGGCTGGAATTTGAAAAAAAAAATAAAGGTTTGGATTTTATTTTTTTTAAGGTCCTAACAATGAATCTTTTAGGGATTCTCGTAGCATCACTGCTAATATCTCAAGGACTATCGATGACAGATATGAAAGGTAAGACAGTTTAAATTATGTGGGCTCCGGGTATCAAGTCATTCCTATTATGAACGGTTATTATGGCACTTCCTTAATTGAACATTAATAGCCGCTTTCATTACTCATTATCCAGGACCAAAATATTTTGGGTGAATCAAGAATATACTTTTTATTTAAATTATATTATACAATTCATATAAGAGTGGTGATCACATTATTTCTTAATAATAGAAAGAAATACCCTTTTCATTTAAATAATATACAATTCATAAGATTGGTGATTGCATTATTTCGTAATAAGAGAAAACTGAAAATTCGCCTTTGGCTACCCGCTTTTATTACGCATTATCTTTAAGGAATTAAGAATATCCTTTTCATTTAAATTATAATATAATATTATATTATATTATATATTATATAATTCATGTAAGATTTGTGATTGCATTATTTCTTAAAAATAGAAAACTGAAAATTCGCCTTTGGCTGCCCGCTTTTATTAACGCGTTATCTAGGACCAGAGGAATACCCTTTCCATTCAAATTATGTAATACAATGCAAGCATGAGTGGTGATTGCCTCGTTTCTTAATATTAGAAACTGAAAAATTCTCCTTTGGCTTTGTTATAGAAGACTGTGTGGAGGATGTAGATGTTCTGGTTGTACTAGATGGTTCTGAGAGTATCAGTGCTGACAAATTTACAGGAATTAAAGATGCCTTAAAGATGATGGTCACTGATCTCAATATACGTGAGCGACCAACTAGAATGGGAGTTATCCTTTACAGTTCTACTATCAGTACCGTTATTCCCTTGTGCAGTGATGAGAAGAAGCTCATGGACGGTATATCCTCCCTTCAGCAACCCATGGAGGGTACCCAGACACATTTAGGTCTGGCGGAAATGAATAAAATGTTTTCCAGAGAGGAAAGACCTGGGGTGCCTAAAGTAGGCATCGTCATCACCGACGGAATGTCTAAGAATAAAACAGCTACACTCGCAGAAGCTCGGCTATCAGAATTACAGGGCATCCACATGTTTGCTGTTAGTACAAATGGTGATGTAGATAGATCAGAACTTGAAACAATTGCCACATCTAAGAATCGGGTACTTACTGTGGATCAACTGCCCGAAATATGCCCACATTTAAAGACCCTCCTCACAAAATGTCCAGGTATGTAGACTATGCGAGACGGTTTAGTATCGGTATAAGGAGCCGTGGTAGCTCAGGGAGTAAGACGTTTAGTGTTGACTATCTTGGAAGTAATAGGTTTAGACACACCCTATACTAACTTCCCAATGCAGCTATCAAGTCACTAAATGTTAATGCTCACAGAATGATTGCTTCGAAGTTTAGAGTTCTGAGCCTGTTATTGACCTTCGTTTTCAATAATCAAACTGTAAGAGCATGTTTTTTAAAATTTTGTGCATGGTACGTTTCCTATATTAAAGTCTCTTGTCGGCTTTTGGTCCAATTCTGTTCAGTATTTACACAGATTTAATGAATTCAAAATTTTGCAGCATTTGGCATCCTCTTCAGACGATATAAACGTCATATTGTCAATTCACTTAGGTAAAAAAATATTTGATCTAAATATACGTAAATATATATCATATGTATTGGATTTGTATTTGGTCATTTTGACTAAATAATATGGTCCTTTTCACTACATTTTTTGGCTTAACGCGTCTATGAAACTTTCGAATCCCCGGTTGTACGTGACAAGGAGTAGGGTCGCCTGTCCAACCTCGTGGGTTTTCTCCGGGTCCTCCGGTTTCCTCCCACTGTTAAAGACCCCTATGCGCAAGCGAATTATTGAAATAAAATTAAACTATGTTAGTCCCGAAATGACCTAGTTTGTGTCGAGTGGACGTTAAACCCCATCTCTCTCTCACTCTCTCTCTCTCTCTCTCTCTCTCTCTCTCTCTCTCTCTCGTCTATGAAACATACAGCGAAGCCAACGTCACTTATATTCTTAGTTACAATCATTTGATGGGCATTTATTTTATTCCGATTGAAAGCAGGCGGGGATATTATCATACGTTGACAAATGCAAATAATGATCATAAGCAGCTTAAGTCTGTGAGGTCTGCCAGGGTACCAGTTTCTTTTTCTGTTTCACGACTTTTCATAGCTACATACATATACCGTAACAGACCATTGGTCCTCCAGATATTCAACATGTGTATTTTTTTTTTAAATATTTTAAATTGAAATTTCTAGATTCGGCTTCTGGTTGCAAGGATTATATTGATGTTGTTACTGTTATTGATGGATCCGACAGCATATCTAGGGGTGAGTTTCAAAACATAAAAGAAGCTGTTAAGAAATTTATCACTGAACTTAACATTGAAAGTGGCTCCACCAGATTCGCCATTTTACTATTCAGCTCAAACGTCACCTCGGTAATGGACTTTACCGCGGATACCGCCACCTTGTTCACCCACATTGACTCTCTACAACAACCCAGAGATGGGACAAACACAGCGGAAGCTCTGGGAAAAGCACATCAATTATTTGTTGAAGGTGGTCGTGAAGGGGTGGCTAAAATAGCGGTTGTGATTACTGATGGATATTCAAGAAACTTCACGGAAACGACCCGATATGCAGAAGAATTACGGAAACTCGACGTCAGCTTGTTCGCAGTTGGTGTTACTGAAGAGGTGCATGGCGAAGAGCTGATGGCGATAGCCTCCTCAGAGAAGGAAACTCTTATGTTGAAAAACTTTAACCAGTTAGCTAGTAACTTGATGAAGGCTGTAAGACAGGCTTGCCCAGGTAAGCTTAATAAACGAATGTATACCACCCGAGCCGTTGTTAGCAGGTGTTAGTTTCTGGTGGGGACGTTCAAAACGTATTAACAGAGTATAGTGTATAATACACCACTTGCTCATATAAATCATGGATGAGAGATACCCAGGTCAACATTTTTTGATTCTAAATACATGTATAAATACGCTTAGTTAATGAAGATTATCTATTTCAGATCCAAACATGCTGCCAACCCCAACAACGGCTGGTCCAGAAGACAGAAAATTACCTACAAAACCAACAACTCGAGACGCAAATGGTGCAAAAACAACCCCTGGACAAAACGGTTCTAAGACAACTTCAATGCCACTTACCAACAAATCAACACCCAAAGCATCATCCGGATCAAAACTGACGACTAAGTCTCCAGGAAGCGATTCCAATATGTCCAACGATAAAATGGCGCCGACCATAATCCCTGGAAACAAAAGTCCTACAACTCCACCCAGCGACCGAAAGCTTCCAGTAGATGGTGCAAACCCGATTGATCCAGAAGGTCTTTGTGACAACTGTACAATGTTGAATGGTGTCGGATTTCAGCCATACAGAGATAGTTGTCAGAAATTCATTCAGTGTATCTTTGATCAGGATGTTTTGATAAAGACAATCATTAAAGATTGTGCACCTGGTTTATTTTGGGATCAAGATAAACTGACCTGCAACTACCCAGAAGAAGTTGAATGTACTAAAGGTAAATAGTAAGCTAATGTTAATTTGATGTTACAGTTTACTTTAAATAATGAACAATAAATTCTAGGATAGGTAATCCCCATTGATCAGTGGGGTTTAGTCTATGAGACTCGTCTCACGGACGCATCCATGGGTTTACACTGTTCGACGTATCCGCGAGACAAAAAAGTTTCTTTGCGCGACCATAATAGTAGATTTAGTCGAAGACCGTTAACTTTCCTACAATTTGATTGGCTGTAGATTAAGCCCAGTCTCGTGAGAATAAATAGCGTTGGATTGGGAGACTAATTCTCGTGTCACAGATTAACTATCAGATGAACACGGCGATACAAATAAATCTTAATTGACTAAGATGACTACAATGGAACCTCGGTTTAGCGCCTTTTTGTTTACAAACTGTAGATTGTTTAGATAAACCGCTCAATTTTAAGTCTCGTGCGGGATATTCTTGAAACTGAATCTTTAATCTTATCTTTAAACCGGCTGTTTAAGCTTCTCTTTGAACTTACTCTTTAAGCATTTCTTTAAACTGAATCTTTGAGCCTTTTATTAAACTGAATCTTTAAGTCTTTTATTAAACTGAATCTTTAAGCTTTTCTTTAAGTTGAATCTTTAAGCTTTTCTTTAAACTGCATATTTAAGCTTTTCTTTAAACTGAATATATGGAAAATGTGTTGATCTTTCAGGACCATGTTATGGTAAAGGCGATGGGGATTATGGACATCCAGATAACTGTAGAGAATATTATGAATGCGTTGGTGGGGTTTCATCACTTAAATGCTGTCCAAGTGGCTCCGCTTTCGACACCTCGACACAGAAATGTGGAAAAAATTCTGGTTGTACTGATCCTTGTAAATGGGGAGACCCAGAGTCGGGTGGTGAGTTACTCAGATTCGCTTGAAACTTAACTTATACTTCCTTAGCACTTGTTAAGGGAAATAATTTACAGGTATTTCCAATTATGTAATGATTGCTGTCTAGGTGTGATTGGAATGTTTATTGCAATATCTAGATGTTTTTTTTTATCAGCACACCAGTGCAATGGTTGGGTTATAAGTCAAGACAGTGGACAATTATATCAGGTATGAATGTTAAAAAAGGACATGAAATAAAATGGAGTTTAACACCCTACTGTTCTACACTGACTTGGCTAATAAAGACGGACATACACCATACAGTCAAGTATGGGCGATATTTTTCCCGAGCAGCTGCACAACGTCAAAATTTTATTTTGAATTCCAACTTCAAGGGTCTTTTACGTGCACGCCAATCTGACACGGGGTCTCAGATTTTTTCCGTCCCATCCGAACGACTGAACGTTGTTCCCTGACAGGCCCTCCGTCCTGCATCATTGACAAGGGAGAACCACGACTGAAAATCCCGATCCAACACCAGGATCGAACACGGGAACTGCGGGTTCGCGAGTCAATGTATTACTCACTGAGCCACCACGGCTCCCATTTAAATTGTCGTTATTATTTATAGATTGCACTCGACGTAGTGTTGACGGTGATAAAAGATCATATGAGCAGATGTTAGGGGGTGGAATGGAATGGTTTAAGATGTCATGTGCTGTTGGAACTCTCTTTAATGCCGCTGAATGTAAATGCTCGGATCTTGATGAAGAATATGTTCCAACAACTTATAAACCACAAGCTCGAGGTCTGTTTGTCATAATAAATTATCTCCCTTACAAATTAAAACGTTGTCTATAAATTAGGAGAAATTATAATTATATCAAACATAGTGCAGACGCAATCTAATTGTTATCCACCCTAGTGTAAGTGTAGGAGCAGTGTAATTAAAAATCCAACATAGTGCAGGAGAGATCTAATAAAAATACATCCTAGTGCAAGTGTACGAGCAGTCTAATTAAAATCCAACATAGTGCAGGAGAAATCTAATTAAAATCCATCCTAGTGCAAGTGTAGGAGCAGTCTACTTAAAATCCCACATAGTGCAGGAGAAATCTAATTAAAATACATCCTAGTGCAAGTGTAGTAACAGTCTAATTAAAATCCAACATAGTGCAGGAGCAGTCTAATTAAAAATCCATCCTAGTGCAAGTGTAGGAGCAATCTACTTAAAATCCAACAAAGTGCAGGGGCAATCTTATTAAAATTAGTCTACAATTTCATTCGGTCATATTTTTACACTACATTGTAATCGAAATGTAACCTACTTTTACACTTCAGCTTCGATATCCAAATTCATATAAACTACCATAAAACGAAAATAAAGTCGATATAGTAAAAAGAAAAAAAAAATCAAAAACGAGGCTCTGCCGAGTTATTTTTACTTTATCGACGAGTGTTGTTATTTTTTGGTATCAAAAAAGACGTGTAGGAGATTTTATTTATCACCCAATCCTTTCTTACATGCACAAATAAATAAATATAAGTCTTTGCTATAGATTTCACTTTTACTGAACCTGATTACATTACGGCGTAGTTCATTTTTAACTGACCAATCAATTCCTAAGGAGAGATCGCAGTAGTTTATGAAATTTATCAGACAAGCGATATCTACTGTAGAATGTATTATTGGGTGATAAAATTTGAATATTACCATCACCAACAAATGAAATATGATTTGCACATAACAATTCACACAACACCACAGGTGAAGTCCTGTATATCAATACAAACAATTTGAATGGTCAATACGCCCACTTTATCTT